AAACCCGGTATCAGCGAGTTGATGTACAATGAGGTGTCCGCAAACGAGACACTGCTGTCGACGCTGTTATAACTAACCACAAACGAGACACTGCTATCAACGCTTGCACAATTAAAAAGAAACGCTGGCATTGACACTACTAGCAATACCAAAGTGGAGTTTAAACGAGGCACTGCCATCAACCGATTCAACTTCCAATAAAAGAAGATCACAAATGAGTTCACTATGAAGTGACCCATGGCTATCAATGCGAGAAGTCTCTGCAAACTATTCACTCATGGCGACCGCCGCGCACACGCGTGTAGGAAATCGTTGATGATGATAGTGGTAATGGAGTGGGGGCCAGTAATGCAGATACACTGCTGTGCATTCAATTGCTGCGAAAAGAAACTCTGTATGAATGAGTTGATATATAATGAGTTGTCCACAAACGAGACACTGCTATCAACGCTTGTATAAGTAAAAAGAAACGCTGCTATCGACACTTCCCCCAATACTAAAGTTGTCTTTAAACGAGTCACTGCCATGAACGGCTTCAACTTCAGTGTAACGAAAGGAACTGCAGGCTGAGAAGCACCGCAGGCCAACGTGAACCAGTCGTGGTGATGAGGATGAGTGAAATCTGCGATGATGATAGCGATCATGAAGTCGGTTGTAGGAACCCACTTTTGTAGTAACCAACATGCACTGGTATGCATTCACTTATGGTGAAAGGAAACTCGGTATCAGTGAGTTGATATAGAATGAGTTGTCCGCAAACGAGACACTGCGATCAACGCTTTTAGAACGAAGCGAACCCAGCAGAACACTGTTATCAACAGAAAGAATGCTGTAGAAGGACAAAGCGCTGAATGTACACCGATGTGTTCGACGACTGCGTATGTAATGATGTGACGATATACAGACTGAGCCCTTCGTGAATGTCTTCATGTTTTTCTGACGCCTACAAACGGCGCTGACGTGTGTGAGAAAATTGTCCGCGCAGCAAAAGCCGGCGAAGCGTGCGGGAGCTCGCATGCTGAGACAAACTACGTCTGCAGACCGCCAGCTGCAAAAGGTTGCGAGCGGCTCTTGGAATATGTTTACGGAACGGAGCTACGGTGTCTGAAAACATTGGCATCGAAGCGAAGAGCCTCGGAGCCCTGCAGCCTGAGAAACACCGCAGGAACTCGCATACTGAAAAGGAATGCCTTGCAAACCGCACGTTGCGAACCCTGCAGGCTGAGAAGCACCGCAGGATGTCGCATGCTGAAAAGCACTTGTACTGCAGAGCGCAGGCTGCGAAAACTGCAGGCTGAGAAGCACCGCAGGAACTCGCATGCTTTCGAACACTACTGCTCGAGACCGCAGCTGGAGAGCGGCAGACCGCAGGCTGAGAAGCACCGCGGGCAGGGAGACTTGCAAAACTCAGATGTCCTGATCGTCGTGGAGGAAGTCACGCCAGTCCGGCGGCTGCCAAGAATCGATGATGCGCCTGGAGCCACCGCCCGTGCTGCCGCCGATGTCCAGGTAGTCGCCATCGGCCCTGAACAGACGGCCGCGCCCCAACGCCAGAATCGCTTGGTTGCGGATTTGAAGCAGCTCTCCGCTCTCAAACATCTGCAACACGTCAGCTGCCTGCGCGTGAAGTTCGGCTTTGGCTGGCCAGCCTGGGCAGACAGATGGCGGGAAAGCCGCTCCCCCTCGTTGTAGCGCGCGATGGCCTCGGCCATCTGGTGGTGCAGCCGGCGCCGCTGTTGCCGCAGAGCTTCCTCGGGAACTGCTGCATCACGGCCCTCACTGTGATCAGCTTGCAACGCTTGCGTTTGCCAATCAACGTCGAAGCGCCCTGAGAAGGCCAGCACCTCCCAGATCTGTTTGGTACCGGCCACACGTTGCAAATGGCGATGCCACCGCTTACGCTTCTGGTCTTTCACAAACTTGGCGACGCTACCCAGACCTGCACCCTTGGCCTGGCCACCTTTTCCCGCAGGCTGAGAAGCTCCGTGAGAACCTTTCTTACCGCCTGGCCCTTTGTTAGGACCCTGCGGAACCGCATGGCCCCCTTGTGGCGCAGACTTGCCTCTCGCTTTTCCCTTTTCGACATCCCGTTCCTGAAGCGCACGCTGCTGCCGCGACTGCTCGTACTGTCGCGAGCTACTCTGACCAATTCCTGGCGCTCAGGCTCCGTGAGAACGTAGCGCATGTCGTCGATGTTCTTGCTCCGCAGAAAGTCATGTCGAAGCTTAAGGACAGAGAGAATGGCTCGGCCAGTCTACTCCTGAGACGCAAAGGCCGTGTCATATTCCGAGCCAGGCTGAGGAGCGCCAGCTGGATCAGTGTCCGCTGGCTCCGTGGACTTCCTCTTTTTGAAAAGCAAGAGACTGAGATGCTGGAGGACTTTCGGATCGTACTCCTCGTCGTACCTTTCGTCCCAAAGCTGCCCCAGCTCCCTGTGCAAGTCGTTCGCGCGATTTTGAACGACATCCTCGACGTAGTCGGGATCACCCGGTGAAGTCGGTGAAAGCGGAGGAGTAGAACTCGGCGGCCGATCCCAATGCACAGAAGACTCGGCGTCCGCCTGTACGCTGACGTCGGCGTCGGAGACGTTTTCGACGACAATCTTCCGCCTCTTGCTCTCCCCAGGCTGAATAGCACCAGGGAGAGTGAGCACAACCGCCACCGCATCGTGTGCGTCGTTGCGCATGCCTCGATCCGTAAAAGACGCGCCAACGGCAATGGAGCAGAAACGGGCGACTGCTCCGCAGACCCGCGCGTCTTCGACCCTCGATTGAATATATGGACACTTCGCATATACCCACCGGCCCACCACCAGGCCCCTCCCGCTCCCCGGCCCTCGGCACACCCAACAGGCTCACATTGTAATATATCCACGCCCCCCCCCAGATCCCTAGCTACAGAATAGCTCGAGTGTATGTTCTGCTGCGCTTGCCGCGTCAGGCAGTCATGTGTGACACGCGCCTCCTGGAAAGTTGGGTTGTTCGTCGCGACATACACCGATCCCGACTGTGTGTGTCGCTCGGACTCCATGCGCGCCGAGTGGTGTGTGTTGGTGTGTAAATGGAGAATCTGAGCCATGCAGTCCAGGTGCAAGCGGAGATGGCGAACTGTCCGCTTTCGAGTCTGGATGGTCGGCGGTTTCTTGCCGCACACGATGTGCATGTTGGCGATCACCACGTGGAACTTGTCATGGCCTTGTTTGTTCACCTCAAAATGTGAAATAACAGCATCAATCTCTCGGCCGCTAGGAGGCCTGTAAACTTTGCTGTCTTCGCACAGAGTCAGTTCCGCAGGCTGAGAAGCACCGCGGGACCCCCAGAGAGTCAAGTAGTTGTCGACCTCCAAGAAGCGAATGCCATCACCGAAAGGCTTACTGAGGATCTCTGTCACGTTGATCCCTGCTCGGCGAAAGCCTTCACGGAACGCACCGACCTCGCAGCCACAGACAATATCAGCATCAGCGGTCTCCTCTATCGTGGCGCACACCCTTCCGAAGTTAGCGCAGTGAGTGGCCGCCTGCTTACCAGTCATCATGCCCTGCTCGAACCCGAAATTGAACGAGGAGACCGTGAAAGACGCAGGCTGCACAGCGCCAGAACCAGGCGTCTGTCCACCTTCCTCCGCAGGCTGAGAAGCACCGCGAGGCGGCGCAGGCTGAGAAGCACCGCGAGGCGGCGACACTTCGGACGAGCCTCGCGGAGCAGAGGCTGCGGATGAACGTTGGGTATGGGGGTACGGCCAGGGGAACGCCATTGCAATCGAAACTGAGTGGACTGCAGTGAGCGAATGCAGTGGCACGATTGAATGCAGTGGACTGCAGTGTCACTAGCAATTCCTGAACCAAACACGGCTGTGGCGGAAGGACTACGAAGCGTCTGGCTATTCAAATTGTGGCCCGGGAATGTAGTTCTGGGAACTCGAAGACCAGGAAGTGGCCTACAGTTGGCTCCGGGCATCCAAAATGTGGCCCGGGAATGGAATTCTGGGAACTCGAAGAGCACGAAGAGTGTGACTGTTGCATCCGGCCCTCCAGAATGTGGCCCGGGAATGGAGTTCTGGGAACTCGAAGAGCACGAAGTGGCCTACAGTTGGCTCCGGGCATCCAAAATGTGGCCCGGGAATGGAATTCTGGGAGTTCGAAGAGCACGAAGTGTGTGACTGTTGCCTCCGGTTATTCTAAATGTGGCCCGGGAATGGCGTTCTGGGATGTCGATGAGCACGAAGTGTGTGACTGTTGCATCCGGTTATTCTAAATGTGGCCCGGGAATGGCGTTCTGGGATCTCGAAGAGCACGGAAGTTTGTTCTTCCTGTGACTGTTGGTGAAAACGGCCCGGCACCTGCCGCCCGGCCACTCCCCAACACCTGCCGGGACCCCCCTGTGGGAGGGATTCTGCTTTGTCTCTTTTGATCCCACTAGGAACCCTATCGGGTCTTCGCTGTTAGGTACAAAACTCGCCCAGACTGCTATCCAGCGAAGCTGGGGCGATCTATTTTGGATCACCTTTCACACCACTCTCTGACAAGGTAATCCAATCGAAGCTCAGGCCTGAGACGAGATAATTTGTCGAACGTCGTCGGGCTGTCATCTTGGACGGCCCCTCTTTCGCCCAGCGGAAAAAAGCATTGAATTACGAGCGAGGCATGCTGAGCTCGAGGGTGGCTGAGGGTGGGCAGACTTTGAGCCACCGCAGTTGCGGGGGGTCAGCATTTACAAGCACGGGCGAGGAGGGGCCTGTTGGGGTATTCACGTCTACGACTATACACACCCCTAGATGGCCTAAAAACCTCGCCCAGACATGCATATCCAGCGAAGCTGTGCGATATAGTTTGGATCACCTTTCACACGCACTCTCTGACAAGGTAATCCAATCGAAGCTCAGGCCTGAGACGAGATAATTCGTCGAACATCGTCGGGCTGTCATCTTGGACGGCCCCTCTTTCGCCCATACCCATATCATGAACTTGGCCGCTACATTTCACGAATCTTTTGAAGGAGGACCTGCGGCAGGCGCTTGCTGCGCTCCGCCGCCTTCCTCTGCTTGGCCAAGGGAACCTTGCGCAACTGCTGCAAGATCAGGGCCCCCTTCTCGTAGCGAGCCACCGACGCGGACGATGCCCATCGTCCGCGCTTCTGAACCTCTTTCAACGTCCTCCGGGAGTGCGCCTTGTCGTTGCTGGCGCCCGAGTGCCGGAAGACGTGCGGGCACACGCCCAGGGAGGTGTAGCCCAGGCGGCAGGCCGACTTCTTCACCTCGCGCTCGTAGTCGCCGAGGGTGAAGTCGAAGATCTTCTTCTTGTCCGACACGTTGGGCTTGTGGAGCAGCCGCAGCACGCTCGTGAGCCAGGGTCTCGCCACGTCGCCCACGAGCAGGCTGTCGTCCTGGCCGCCCGTCTTCGTGGTCTCGTGCCACTCCGAGGGCGCGATGACGATGCCATAGTGCGCGCCGGCGGCAAGATCTGGCCCTGCCTCAGCCCCACCACCTCGGAGGGCCGCGTGTAGGTGTCTGTCTGGATCACCACCGCGGCCCCCATCAGGGGGTTCCCGTGCTCCACCAGGTCCAGCGCGATGTCGTCCACGATGATGTCGGGCAGCGGCAGACGCATCCTCCCGGGCGCCCGCTTCGTCCAACCCTTCAGGGAGGCCAGCGCCTTTGGGAGGTCGACCTTGCCCGTCGTCCTGAGCTTCAGCAGCTTGTACCCGTAGAAGGCGTTGCGCCCCTCCCAGACCCCGAAGCCGTCGTCGAACAGGTCCACGAAGTAGAGGGAGAGGCTGTCGTCCAGGCGTGCTAGCGGCTGCAGCGGCAGGCGCCTCTCCTTCGCGTAGGTCTCGAACTCGTGGACCGCCGTCGCGTACCTCTCCAGCGTGCCTCCGGTCACCGTCGCCATGATCAGCGAGTCCTTCCGCGGGGCGGTGATGGGGCCTGCCCGCCGGGGGCCTGTAGGCTGCCGCGGTCGGCCCTTCCCCGGTGGCGGCTGCCGCCCAGTCCGGCCGGGTGGGCCCTCCAGCGCCGGGGCCGCTCGTCCTGGCCGAACTGGATGATCGGGTCGTGCTCGAGGATCGAGTCGGCGGCCTGGCAGGCTGGCTCACGGGGTTCATCGACCTCACCGTGAACCGCTGCTCGAGCCGCCGGGCGACGGCCCGCGGCCCGCTGGAGGCCATGGCGGACCTCGCTGGGGTCGAAGGCTCGCTGGCCCGGGCGTATGTCGCCCGGCAAGGCCGAAGAAAGGAGCCTGGCCCAACACGAGCCCAATGCTGGCGGGTAGGCGGCGGCAAGTGGTGTGAGATGACCGTGTAGCAAGACCGAGTGTTTATGTCGAATGCGAGGTCGATCTCCCAGGGACTGTAACGCTCTCAGGTTTGTCAAGATTCGAGTAGGTTTCCGATAGGCCGTGCCATACATGCTCATATCGAAGTTTACCTCGACGACGTCCGCGAGTCCATGAAGGCGAGCGATCGGGTCGAAGTTCCAGAGTCTCGAAGTCCGGGGGATTTCCACACTCCAATAACACCCACGACGTGATAAGATATGACACAACGTAGCCGTAAACAGTGCGAACTCGATGCCCAGACGTTCCCGGGCCCTGGCTCGAACATGGTTTCGGACCCCCCTCCGAGCGATACTCCAAACCTGACAAGGCGTTCCCAGGTGCACATATATCAAACGCCCTTCTCGGGCCAGCCTCAGGATATACTCTTGTGTACTGCGACGAGAAAGATCAAATTCCCAGCCGTCTCTGATATCAACTGAATCCGCGAAGGGAAGCCCCTCCGCCAGGCAGGCTCGAGTCAGCTCCCCCTTTCCACCGAAGAGCTCCATACAAAAAACTGATTTACCAGGCTCGCTCTGAATTGACGGGCGTACAACAGATGCTGAGGATGCCGACGGAGGTGACCGAGAAGAGGAGGAGGTCGTGTAACTCGCAGCTGGAGCGGACAGGCTCGGGGCGGCGTCTCGACGCTCGGTCCCCCGGTTCAGCCCAGCCGGCTTCTTCAGGTCCCAGCGCCGGGAGTCCTCGTCGCTCGGGTTACGGTCAGTCTCGATGTACCTGAGCCGCCAGGAGATCTGCCCCCCCAGGCGGTAGGCGGCTGCGCGCCTGCAGAGGGCCTGCAGGCCCGCGCTGGAGCGACCCTTCTCGAAGGCCCCGACGGTGACCTGGCTGTCGCTGATCGAGAGCAGCTTTGTGCCCATGAACTTCACCGATCGGCAGTGCCGTCGGAGCCCCATCAAGGCGACCCTCGCCTCCTTGAGGTTGATGTGCTCGTCCTGCCAGCGCCAGCGGTCCGCGGCGACCAGCTTGCAGCGGCGCCTGGCCACCCAGCTGTCCTCCAAGGCGGGGATGCCCGAGTCAAGATGCAGCTGGGTGCGGCCACGAGCCGGCTTCGCAGCGCGGCTTCGGGCCGGAGAGGGAGCCAGGCCGCTCGCATCCTCTGGCACCTCCGCCTGACTCAGCAGGGACTGGCCGAAGGCGGTCCTCGGGCCAGTGGCGGTGCCGGGCGTGCCGCCGCGCACGTAGTCGAGCCCGTTGCTGACGTGGCCCGTCACTGTCGGGACGTCGCGGTACCGCCAGCGTTCTCTCCACCTCCAGGCTTCTCGGAGCTCGGTCGGCTCGGCGGTCGTCACGTGGAGTGCGTAGCCGCGGCCGGGCGAGTCCCCGCAGCACACCTGGTCCGAGTAGGTCGCGCCCAGGTCCGCCTCCATCAGGAAGAGCAAGTTCATCGAGCAGCGGATCTCGGACTTCACGGAGGGCCAGACCCAGACCCGCTTGGGCGACTCCAGCGACTCCTCGATGAAGCGGTAGCAGGCGTTCAGCGCGGACATCGCCTCGGGGCAGAGCTGGTTCAGGTTCACGACGTGCCCCAGCCAGCACTGGAGCGCGTGCCCGTGGAGCTTGCGGCGTCTCAAAAGGGCGTGTCCGGCCATGTAGGTCCGCCAGACGCGCCGAGCCACATGCCTCAGGCGACGCTCCTGCCAGTGGTACACCAGGCCGAGGGACTGCATCTCCAAACTGTCCCCCGGCTCCACGTCGAAAGGTATACGGTCCTCTCGAAAAAGATTCTCGATCTCATGCATCTGAGTGTTGGCGTCAGCCTCGCAGCCTCCGATCACCTGCACGTTGTCCACGTACACTCCGGCAACGCACTTGCCGGGCTCGATGGTCGGGGCAGGCTGCATCTCCCTCATCACCTTCTCGGCCCCGTCGGGCAGCGCCCGCTGGACGCGGTAGGTCACGGCCTCGTTGGCGAAGTAGAGCGCCCAGGACCAGCCCATGCACACCGCGCACATGCAGGGGTAGAGCTGCTCGCCGTCCACGACCTTGGTCTCGGCCCCCTCGGCGTCGTCCCAGATCGAGTCCGGCAGGCAGCCCATCTCCGTCAGCTCGTGGGTGCCGAACTGGTCGGCGAAGCCGAACCAGCTCGCCAGCTCGGGGATGGTGAAGTTGTAGAAACAGTCCCCGACGTCTCCCTCGCGGCCAGCTGGGCTGAAGGCCCCGGAGCCGAGGCCCCCGAAGCCCGATGCCTTCAGGCGGGGGTCGGAGAGGTCGAGGTCGGCCATGCATCGCGAGGAGCCTAGCCGAGTAGTGGGAGGTGGCCGATGCGCCCGATTGGCCGCTCGGGCGTCGATGATCAACCTCTGGAGCCCGTCCTTTTTCTTGACCACGAAGATGCCCGCATGCCCCTTCAGCCGCCGACGCCAAGTCAGCAGGCCCTGCTGGTCCAGGCGCTGGTACAGTCGCTTCCGAAGGTCTCGCGAGCGCCGGAGGAGGGGGTCCCAGTATGGCGTGACACCCACTCCCTCGGCACGATCTCTCTCAAGCTCCGCTTCGTCCATCTCGATCAAGTCGGAAGCATGCCGAAGGTAGCCAGCGGCCGACGCGGGCAACTCCCGGCGTATCGGCCGAACGTGGACCTTCCTGTGCAGGATCTTGACCTTGTCGAAGTCGAAGCTGGCCAAGTTCTTGGGCTCCATCCCGTAGTGGTCTCTCGAGTCGAGGATCTCGTGCAACGATGACTCCTCTGTGAGGTCAGTGGGGCAATCCCCATACGCCAGTACACGCCGGGCGACATTCTGGATCATCCACTGCTGCACGGCGGTCGGCCGGAGGTGCCCTTCTGGTGCGCGGTCGTGCCCCTGGGCGCGACGTGAATTCACGTTGGCGGCGGCAAGCTGGTTCAGGGCCCGAACCGTGTCAAAAAACTTGCCGCTGTCGCGCAGAGCTGCATGCAGAGCCGAGGCCACTCGGATCGCAGGGCAGAGGAAAGGGGTCTCCATGCCGTCGATCTCGTGACCGGATCCCTCCAGGAGTAGAGGGGGCTAGCCCACGTCTGTGTCGGCTGTGGGGGGGCTCTCTCGGCGCCCGGGCTGCCAGCGCCGGCTCCCCCACAGCCCCGAGAGGCGTCATCCTCCCTCGCCGGCGCCCTCGGCGCCGGCCTTGCCCCCTCTCTTCTTCAGCTTCTTCTTGGACGGGTCGTAGCCGTCGCCGCCCTTGCCCTCCTTCAGGTTCGTCTTCTGCTCCTCGCGGTACAGGCGCTCCTGCTTCCAGATCTGCGCCCTCTCCTTGAGCTTGTCAGTGACCCAGGAGTTGAACTTGTTCGTCGTCGCGCGGCCCGCTGCATTCACCGGGGCCGAGATCACTATGTCCAGCCCGCTGTAGTCAGGGTGGCGCGGGTTGCGCTCTACCGCTATCTCCGTTTGAACCAGCCAGCGCACGATCAGCTCCGCAGAGGCCAACATGGAGGCGTCGACCTGGTCCCAGGAGTGCATGAGCCGAATCACCTCGCACAAGTTGCGGTGCACATGGTTGACTGCCGAACCCTCACCGACTCCGCTGAGCCGCTCCCACTCCGCCTGGTACGACGTCATGTTGCCAGGCCCGGAGACCACCGACTCGAGGAACCCCTTCACGCTCCTCACGCCGGCGAGTGGGAAGTTCGGCTGATCCGTGTCTCTCATCAGCGCGACCGCCTCCGAGAGCCTCAGACAGCGCTGCCCAGCATCGTCGAGGTGGTCCCCGAGCGTACGCACGTCTCCGAGGTCCGCCTTGGTCTCCTTCTTGAAGTCGTCGAGCTTGCTGGCCGCGATCTTCTGCACGAAGATCTCCTCTCCGTCCACGACCGCCACCCCCTTCGTGTCGAAGCCCGTGCCGCGGGCGTCGTCGTCCATGATGGCCGAGTCGACCACCTCGCCGAACTTCGCCGACCGGGGCTCGGCCACCACCCAGATCATCCTCTCGACCACGTCCACCTGGCCCACGCCCAGCAGCTGCCCCTGGATCTTCGCACGGCGACGGAAGCCCGCCAGGGCGGCGGCGGCGATGGGGTCGTGGGCATAGACCTGGTTGCCCAGGTGGGCAGGGAACGGGGCTCGCCTCTCCAGCACCTCGTGCCGGATGTCCAGCAGCTTCAAGCGCACCAGGGCGAGATCAGGGGTCAAGCTGATCCAGATGTCGTCCGACACCCTGAAGAGCAACACTCTGTGGTGCCAGAGGAAGCCGTTCTCGTCATCCGGGTAGTGGACCAGGATCTGCGGGTCGCCGATGTCCAGCGTCAGCACGTCTGCCATCGGGCTACAGCTGCCGGCGGCTCGGCGTCGAGGGCCCTCGGCCCGGCTGCGGGCACGCCAGCCCCTCTACCGCCGCCGCCCTCGAGGCCGCGGCCGGTTGGGCGCCGGGCTCGGCCGCCCGGCCCGGCGCGCGCTCGCGCCCGCCGCAGCGACAGCGCCGGCAGGCCCCCACCAGGAAGCCCAGCGTGCCAGCACCAGAGGCCACAGCGCCGAGCAGCAGGAGCCCGGCCAGCAGCAGGCACCGCAGCGCCCACACCTCCGACTGGAGGAGGCCGACCTCCTGCTGGAGGTCGATGATCTTGCGCAGCTCCCAGTCGCAGGAGCAGCGCTCAGAGTCCTCCTGGCAGTGGCCGGAGGTCGCGAACGGCGCCGCGTGAGCCGCCTGGGTGGTGACTCCGCCCCAGCCCCAACTCCAGCAGGCGCTCCAGGTCGCCCCCCAGGCCGTGAGCAGTGTCGCCCACAGCGGAGGCGCCCCTCCGTCCATGCAGGGGCCGCCGCGGCTGGGGGCCTCTCAGACTTTGAGCCACCGCAGTTGCGGGGGGTCAGCATTTACAAGCACGGGCGAGGAGGGGCCTGTTGGGGTATTCACGTCTACGACTATACATTGCGTGGGAAGGAATCCTTACATGATTCGCTGGTTAGGAGGAACACGTGCTGAGTATGCTGCGCTGGCGAACAAAGCTTGTTTGTTTGTGTTGCTTGAGATGGGGGATCGACGTGGCCCGAACGGACCCTTCCACAAAATCCGGAGCGCAACTTTCGGCGCCCGCCTTGCGATGACGCATTTATCTCCGTTGCCCCCCCCCCCCCACCCAGTCCAGCCGACAACGCTATGTTACCTCGGGAGCATGGTTGCTCCGCACGAGGAGCTACCGCAGCGGTCGCACTGAGTGTGCCAGGAGCGGTCTGCAAACAACATAACGACCGATGACAAGTAGAGAGCCCTATTCGATCACCCCGGGAGCACTGTTGGCCCCACACGAGGTCCACTAGACCGCTCGGGCTCTGAAATATCCTTAAAACTTGCTCTTGCTCTGAAACATCCGTAAAGGCTGGCTCGGCGCCCCTCCCCCACCCCCCATTCCCCCCCCCCCCAACATGCCCCCGAGCCGGAATCAGACTCTCGAGCCAAGGTCGCATCAACCTCCAAGCCGAGAACATCCTCCCCTTTCAAAAACTTCTACTGACACGGGTCACTCCCCAATGATAACGCTCGGTGTCATTGCAACGCAACGTCGGGGCCCAACATCTCCTTCAAGATGCGCCTTAGCACAGCATTCTGCTCGGCAGTGTCTTCCGACGCATGAAAGCGCCAGAGGTGTCTTGAGAAAAACCTCGCAAGTGAATCCCACCGGAATCTAATTGCATGCGCAAGCCCTGGAGTTCTGTCCGGGAGTGGAGGGCGGCCTTGGGGGCCCCCTACGCCATTCTCTGTGTGCTCTTCGGCCGCTCTGGACCCCTGAGCACGCCCAGGAAACCAGAAAGGACCCATGGAAGGGCATCGCAACTTACGACGGGACGCCGCAGGCAATAGCATCAAAAACCATGTCGGGCGTGCTCGGGGCGGGCTCTGCTGAGAGTTCTGACGCCCTGACTGCGGCGATGCAAGCGGCCTCTCCCTGCAGCAGCTCGCGCCCGTACGTGCCCGACTGCCACGAGGACGCGTTGATTTTGCGCCGCTTGGCGGCCGCCTCGTCTGAACCCCGCTCCACTGTGTACTTGCCCATGACTGCATCGAAGGTTGCGTTGGCCCTCGCTATTAGCGCCATCCGAGCATCATCCTTGATCTTCTCCTGGCGAGGCCAGGTCTCGAAGTGTGTTTTCTGCAAAGACTCGCCATACGAAAAGGAGAGGAGCCAGGGCAACTTGTCCTTGAACAGCTTGTTCATCGTGCTCAGGTACATGGTAGCTACTTCCTCGTTGTCCTGCTCCAGGCCAGTCTCGCGTGACCCAAAGAAAATGCCCGGTAACGCTGGAGGCACTGTGCGACGCAGCGCCCGCACTGTGAGCGTTGCGATTGTTTCAGCGCCAGCCGTTGTGCCCGCAACACCGTTTTTTCACCGCGTTCATCTTCAGGAGGCAGCCTTCCAGGTAAACGTGGTGATCTGCGAAAGCCTTGAACTGGGCTGCCAACACTTTCTCGGTCACTTCCGAGCAATAAGAAATGTCGTGTTCTCCTTCGGGCAAAACCTCAATTGCAACGATAGGCACCAATTTCTCACTCTGGCAAATGGAAACGTAGCGCGCCAGGGTGCGTACCGTGTCTGCAATGGCAACGCCACTTGGCAACCCCTCCTCGAAGTGGAGTTGGAGGACGTTGCGCCACTTGGCGAAACGAGCTCCCTTCGCATACGCTTCAGCGCATCTCTCCTGAAGGTCATTGAGCCCAACGGCACGCACTTCGGGCTGGCCCAATGGCCCGACGCTAGTGTTCCACATGCCCTTCTTGTTGTAGCCCTTGTCCACCTTGGTACCTGGAACCATGTCATTCCCAGTAATGATGTTGACTATCGGCTTCCCGGTTGCGTCATTTCGGAAGAGCACCTCCCAGTCCAAGATCACTCCGCTGACGTACTCGCTCAAATCCGGTGCACCGAAGCACAATGCCAAGTACGCAACGCGTTTATCAAGAACATCAGGCTCTGCGGCGACGTCGCCAGCAAGGAAACCCTTTCCCGGGGCGCAGAGCTGGGAAATTGTGGATTTCAACTCCGCCAGGACGCTCTGCGGCACGCGCGCGGAGCACAGCCCGTGCGCAAAGCTGTTCATGCCCGTCCCTTTGAATAAGTCGACGGTAGCGAAAAGTACCTCCGATAGTATGAATCGATGGCAAGGTGGAACCCTTGAGCCCACTCTCGCTGCACGACCTTTGTGGTATGACGCGCGGCATGTCTCACGTGATCCTCCGTCGAACTTGCGCGGCCCTTGCATGTTGGAGAGGACGCGGGCTCCTTCAAAATGGGTGATTGATCATCGTCAGCTCGCCCCACCCTAACCCCCCGCCAGCCTGGTGCTCCGAGGGGCTGTGGCCGGTTCCTGAGGGCGCAGTCCCACGTGCCCAATTTGGAACTTCTATACGCACCCTCTACGCCTCCTCTTGCGAGCCTGGACGACCACCTGGGCAGCCCCCCAAAAAACAGACAACCCATAACATGCTGACGATAAACGAAGAACATAGCCAGACGAGCCCTGCAAGGGCCCAGAATGGAAAAGCTAGCACACACGATTCCAACGGTCCAGAACAAAACGGCACCTCAAAGTTGCGTCCAGAGCCCGGGTTTTCGGTGCGTTTTCACGGCCGGGGTTTGAACGTGCTTTACAAGCAGTGCTTCGCGGATGTTTTGGGTACCAGGCTTTGCGGGCGCATTGGAGCCAGGCCTTGACATATGTTTCAAGGATGTTTTCCGGGCCAAGGAGGAGTGGCACGGAGAGAGCCGAGAGAAGAGGGATGGGCGGGGGAGGAGGAGGGGGAGTGGCACGGGGAGGACCGAGAGAAGAGAGCGGCACGGAAAGGGCCGAGAGAAAAGGGATGGGCGGGGGAGGGGGAGGAGTGGCACGGGGAGGGCCGAGAGAAGAGGGTAGCACGGGGAGGGCCGAGAGAAGAGGGATGGGCGGGGAGGGGAGGGGGAATGGCACGGTGATAGCCGAGAGAAGAGGCATGGGTGAGGGAGGAAGAGGAGGGGGAGGAGGTAGAGCACAGGGAGGGCCGAGAGAAGAGAGTGGCACGGGGAGGGCCAAGAGAAGAGGGATGGGCGGGGGAGGAGGAGGAGGAGGAGTGGCACGGAGAGGGCCGACAGCAGAGGGCGGCGCGGGAAGGGCCGAGAGAAGAGGGATGGGTGGGGGAGGGGGAGGAAGAGGCATGACTACCATCACACGTATGAGGCCATGGCCGGTTACCTCGGGGGCTCTGTTAGCCCCGCGCGAGGTCCTTCCAGCCGCTCGCACAACCCTGGGAAAAAAAAAAGCAACGTGCCTCAGTGGACAGGCGCGACAGAGTTCGGGAAGATCGCCGCGCTCCTCTGCCAATATTTCCCCCCTCCTCGCCAAATCACCCCCCTCCCTATCCCGCCCCCGCTCGCCCGAAAGAATTGAAGCAATCGTCATGGATCCTGGGGCCCCCGTGAGTAGAATTTCTCATGTACTTTCGCTCCCGGTGGCACTGCGCAGATGTGATGCGACAGACGTTTGCGTCGGTTTCCTGCCCATCCATTTGCGCCCTCCACCACCTCCGCTATATGCCCCTCCGCCCCCCCCCCCTCCCCGCGCGCCCCTGGGTCATGCTCCGCCCTAGCGCGTCGCGCCACGTGGGGAAATTCTAAACGCGGCGGCCTTCTGCAACATGCGCATGCAGCGCAAGCCGCGCGAGGAACTCCGAGCAATACGCAGGCGCACGCAGAGCATAGCGAAAACATGGACAGGCCACCCCGGGAGCACCCTTGGCCCCGCACGAGATGGCCCCGAACCGCTCGCCAAAAAAACTCGGGCTCGCGGGCGCTGCAGGTCGCAAAGAGCATGCTCGACTGCATCCGTCCACATGGACCTCCTCATCACCCCCTTCCTCCCTTCTGCTGCTTTCCCTTGTCTCCTCCTCGCGCCCCCCCCCCCCCCTTCCACCCAGACCTTACGTCCACCCCGCTGCTGCCATCCTCTCTGCTCTCATCGGCGGCGCCGCTCCGAACAGTTTCACATGTTGAAGAACGTCTCGCGGACGGCGATGACCACCTCGCACCTGGCACGGCCTCACTGAATGTTGCTGCGGAAGAGTCCACGCCATCACTCCCCCCAAAAAAGCTTCCGACGCTTCCTCGAGGGTGACTCTGGCATATCATGGTCAACGCTGACAGCGCCATCGTCGTTGAGACTGAATTTGCTGTTCCCACGGTCAACACTGGCCCCCATGATGCGGACGTAAGCCGCGTCATCCAGGTGGAACGCGGCTGCCTTGCCCCACATCGTTACAACAACCACCTGGCCGTCGCTGCTGACGAGGTGCATGTTGCGCCGGGCCTTGACGCAAGTGCCCGTGGATGCATCGCAACGATGTGCCCTTCCGCCCAGTTCGACCCTTGATTTGTTGGCTTGCTGGCTGGCCACTTCAAGCGTTTTCACTGGCACGGCCATCGACGACTTGCCCTCCGCCCGGATGCGAGGGCGGCTGCGGAGCTCAAAGGCGTAGCCATTGCCTGATGCCGTCACGGGGCTGATAGCGACAACGCTGCCGCTGGGAATGCGCGAAAGAGCCTGCTCCATCTCCACAGCATGCGCACCCCAAGCGACAAGTTCGCCCAATGTCTCGCCGTCGAACACCCAGGCCTTGTACAGGGGCGTAGTCTGCTTGCTTTAGGTGGGCACAGCCCCCACGGCGATCGACTTCCCCACGAGCACACCGTTCAGAATGGTGTCCACGGCAAGCTCATCAATCAGTGCCAATACACCAGCACCACTCGGGAAAACGTTGTCCATGCCGCCGCACGTGTCTCGCCAACCGCTCTGCTGTCTTTGCCCATCGCCCCATTCGTCGTCATGCCAGCCCCAGCGCGGTTTGGTGCTAACGACCACGGCGCCGCGCCCCTGGAAGCAGAGCTCGACCATTCTTCGCGCCCCTTCCGAAGGGACACGCTCTTCCCAATAGTTCCGATGCCGAGCGTCACCCTCCCAACTCGCGGGCGACGCGTCGACGGCGTCACCCTCGTCCGCATTACCATCTCTCGACCACCTGGTCCACTCGGAATGGGAACAATCGCTCCAACCGCTGCCGATGCCCGCCCCCGACCATGCCGCCCCGTCATCTCACGTCTGTGCTGCCCACTGCTGCGCCTCGCTCCAGTCGGTCTCGTTGCTAGCCTCGTTGCCGCCGCGTGCCTCTTTCGTGGTACTCGGACGCGAACCCCACCCAGAGAAGCTCCAATCGTCCGCCTTGCTCGTCCCGCCCCAGCTCCACTTGGCGTCGTAGCAGCACGCAACGTCGTCGAACGCACCCTCCTCGGCGCTCTCTCGCTCAACCCAGTCCTTCCACTCCGCGCCCCACTCTGACTTCTCGAAGCTCTTCTTCGCATGTCCTGACTGCGGAGGCGTTGTGGGCGCTCGGTTTCCATGCGCGCCCGCTGGCTGTGGCTGTTCTGAATCGGGCGCAGCCACGGACATCACTGGACCTGACGTTCCTACATCTCCCTCTGGCAAAGCCGAGCCATGGACATGAGCACCAGCGGAAGCATGGAGATCCATGGGGCGCTGGAATAAAACTGCAAGCTGATAGCCGAGTTGCCCGAAGAAACTCGAACACGAGCCAACGCGCTGCGAAGAAATGGCGAAGGACGCCCAGAGAACTTCCATACAGCACCGGACAACTAAGGGGCCGAGCTTTACAACTGTTCGGGGGCCATGCTTCAAGGATGTTCTAGGGGAGAGGCTTCGGGTTTGTTTCGGGAGCCCAGCGTTGGGGAATTCTGGGGAGCTTAGCTGCAGGGCTCGGCTGGGGGCCAGGCTGCAGGGCTGTTTTAGGAATCTGGCGGCTTCAAGGCCGAAGTCTTACAATGAAAGATCACAATGGCGGGAAACACTGAACAACAAAATAAAACAACCTCAAGCAGCGGGAAACCATCCCAAGCAAACACTTTGTATATCTGTGTGTAATATGTAACAAATGTGTTCACATATGCGCGTGCGTGCGTGCGTCTGCGCGCACGTGCGCGCGTTCGCGGGCCCTAGATCCCACCCGAGACAGCCGCGAGTAGAAATCGCCCCAGGACGCCCCGAGACAGCAGTTACTTGAGATGGCCTCAAGACGCCCCGAGCAGCGAACTCGCCAAAGTGCCTCAGGTCAGCGCATATCGGAGCCCGGGTACGCATCTGAGGATGTATCAGGGGACGCGGGCCTGAGCACCTCACGGGCCAATTCTTGGAACCCAGAGTTCTTAGGTATCTCAAGCGGCACGGGCAAGAGCACCTCAAGTCAAGGCATCTCATAGTAGCCCTGGGCCAGGAGGATGTCTTGAAGTGAAACGGGTCAGAGCCTTCGTGAGCCATGGGGAGCACCCAGCTCTTTTGAGGGCAACCCCCTCCCCAGCACCTGCCCGGCACCGCCGCTGGGGCTGCTGCCCTGCCGCCCCCCAGGCCTCCAGGGTTCACCGATGCCTCCCAGGCAACGAGAAACCGAACAACAATTTTTCGAGGCCCGACCAATTCTTTTTCGCTGCCCCCCAGGCACCCATGGCCCCATTGCTGTTCTCCACGCCTCTGGAACGCGGCATCGATGTTTCTCTGCTCTGCGGTTTTGCCTGGGACATCCTCGCAGCAGTGGCGGCGCTGACGGCCCCTTGGGGCAACCCCGCGCTGCCTCCGAGGCCTCCAGGGGCCGACTGCTGCCCCCCAGGGTTCCAGAAACCGACAATCTTCGTCCTTCCCCCCTCCCTTCTCGTCGTTTTCCTGTTCCTCCTCCTGGGCTGCGCTTGGGCGGCGCCTCCTATCCGGGATGGGC